TAGTTGACTTACAATATTGTGTTAGTTTCAGATGTATGGCAAAGTGATTCAGTTACTTTTTTTTATATTCTTTTCCATTATATGTTATTACAAGATAATGAAAATAGTTCCCTGTGTTGTACAGTAAATCCTTGCTGCTTATCTATTTTATGTGTAATAGTGTGTATCTATTAATCCCATACTCCTAATTTATCCCCCCTTTCCCCTTTGGTAACCGTAAGTTCATTTTCTGTCTGTTTCTGTTTTGTATATAGATTCATTTGTATTATTTTTTAGATCCCACGTATAAGTGATATCATATGATATTTGTTGTTCTCTGATTTCAATTAGTATGATCATCTCTAGGTCCATCCATGTTGCTGCAAATAGCAATATTTCATTCTTTTTATGGCTGAGTAGTATTCCATTGTGTGTGTGTGTGTGTGTGTGTGTGTGTGTGTAACAGTTCTTAAACCAGTCATCTGTTGATGGGCACTTGGGTTGCTTCCATGTCTTGGCTATTGTAAATAGTGCTGCCATGAACATTGGGGTGCATGTGTCTTTTCAAATAAGAGTTTTCATCTTTTCTGGGTATATGCTCAGGAGTGGGATTGCTGGATCTTATGGTAGCTCTATTTTTAGTTTTTTAAGGAATCTGCATACTGTTTTCTATAGAGGCTGCACCGATTTCCATTCCCACCAACAGTGTAGGAGGGTTCCTATTTCTCCACACCCTCTCCAGCATTTATTAATTACAGACTTTTTGTTGATATGTGCTGCCTTTCAACTTGCTGGAAAACGAACCTAAGATGTTGACGTTTTGCGTATCACAGCTCCCCCAGCGTTCATTCAGCAAATGTTTGTCTAACCTTTGTTGGACATTGGAGGCAATGAAAAGAATGAAGAATGGTATTTTTGCTAGTGTATATCAGATGGTAATTCTTTTACAAGTTGCAGGGCTCCTCATATATTAGCTATTTCATCGTACTTTCAGGGCATCTGGTGGACATACCAGGCGACAGTAGCAGCTATGATAGAGGTCTTTCTTCCTTTCCTTCAGATTTGAGTCCTCAGGGTGGTCTCCAGGAAAATCTAAAGGATGTGGGATTCTAAAAGCCGCCTTAGTGAGAGTACCTTGCTGTTTACAACACAGCAGATGTTACATCTATCGTGAGCTGCAGCAGTTGGAATCCACTGCTTTAGTCTGTTTTATATTTCCTACCACCAGCTAATTTTTATGTTAAATAACAAAAGAACAGATGAAATAGAAAAAGCATCCCCAAAATGCTCTTGTAATTTTTTCAGGTGACTCTGGTTAGAGACAACGAGGACAAATTCTAATTCTTGAGCAGATACGTCTGCCCCGAGAACTGTGAGCAGGACGGCCCCCGCCTCCCTCATTGAGCCTGTGCAGTTACTTGTTAAAGATCTGGTGACTGTGCACACACCACTCGTTCGTCCTCAGCCGTGTGATAATAATAGCGCCTGGAAACCTGTGTGCTTGCAGAGTTGAGGCTATAGAGCAGAAGTTTGAGGTTCATTTATTGTTCATTCACCAAATATTTACTGAAAGAAAGAACCCTTAAAACAGACTTCCAGGGTTGACCCTCAGTTCACTGTAAGTGGTTTTCTCTCTTCCCCTCCCACGTCCATGACTGAGCGCATCTCGTTACCCAGTTTTCCCTCTGACCTGCGGGCCGACCCCAGGGCCTGCTGTGTGTGTCAGCGTCCAGGTCCCGCCAGGGGGACCCCCCACCTCTCACAAGGCGCTGAAAGGTGTGCAGCCACCCACGCGTGCAGCCGGTGCTGCTCATTAGCTTTTTGTTGTTGTTGTTGTTTTGAAGAATCTTAGAGCATTTTTCTCTTATTTGGCGTAATCTACCCTATTGTGAAGTGATAGGCAAGGCACACACTTTGGAATATTTCCTGTCCCATTTGAAAAATCAACACTTTCAACTTTTGTGACAAACTAAGGGCATTTATTTCATCATTCACTGACTCACAGGTAAATTGGAATTTTACTGTATTCTGAGTGAAGTAACCAGTTTGCGAGTACTTTAGATGTTAAAAAAGGAAATAGAAAACTAGTGTCTTGATATTGAAATGCAACTATATATAGTTACTGTCTGAATTAAATTGACTCTTTTGTCAGTGGGAAAAAGTTTTCCCCTAATCTTAGAATATATGCTGATAAAGGAATTTGAACTCTGTTTTGAAACTGACTTCTTTTTCCTGGGCTGGTTGTCAGTTGTACCACAGTTAGGGAGGATGGCTGTGAATAGCTGAACTGCATCCTGAAACGTAGACGCTCTGTCTGACCTTCACTAGGTTCCTTCTGCTCACTGTGTGCACTGAGTCTGTTTTCCCAACTCTAGTTTGGTCCTTGCACCTCTCGGGAGGGTCAGATGTGGGGAAAGGGGCAAAAGCAGGTAGTGGGAATCTGAGTGTTTGCTTCATACAGTTCTGTGCTATTTGTTTTTCCCTTCTGAGCTTGTATTATTTTTGTCATTTGTAAAGAAAAGTCATACACGAATATAAAAAAGTGCTGTTGATTCGTAATCTCTTATTTTTCTGGAAGAAAGACTAGAAAGTGTAGCAAGGAAGTAGATTCGCCTTTGAGGGGTGGCAGCTTCTGGAGTTTGAGTCAGTCAGTTTTCCTTGGTGTTTCCTTCGTGCTTGGACGCTGCCACTTGCCACCTGGTGTCGGAGTCCAAGAGCAGGTGGGAGGCACTGGTTCACACAGTTTCTCTATAAAATTTTTTTAACATAAAAGTAGGTTGCTTGTTTGTCATCCTCAGTAGAGACTAAAATCAAGCCCTCGTTTAATATTTCTTTTTATTTCTAAATATTTTTCAAAGAATCAGAGTAATATTTGTTTATCATAGAATATTTAAGTAGAACCAAGTTTTAAGAAAAGAAAAGAACCATAATCTCACCGTCCAGAGACAGGTTAATTTTTGAGTATATTTCCAGCCATTTCTCAGCGGGCTTCACGTACGTTATGGTCCATGATGGACATATTATGCACTTCTGTTCTGTTGCTCTCCGTTCTTCATTTTCATTCCTGTGCGTGCCCGAAGCGTGTGCACACATACCCTCCTCAGTATTAGTCCTGGTGCCCGTGGACTGACCTCAGTTTGTTTACTGGCCTCTTGTCTTGTTTTTCAGTGGATGAATATATCGCCATTGCTAAAGAGAAGCATGGGTACAACATGGAACAGGTAATGACATGGTTTTCTTTTGGTTAAAAATGGGTTTTTATAGCTAACCTGTTAAATTTTTTTTTCTCTGTATTGGGTAGCGTTGTTTCGTCATTAGCAACTTTCTGGTTGTTACTAGCAGTCCTATACAAGGCTCTGGTCCCCTTCTCACTGCTTGAGATGAGGAGTGGAGGACACTTTGATCTGAAAGGCATCCATGTGTTCCTGCAAGTCTGCAGTGCTGAGGGCGGCAGTGGCCCTTAGGAGCTGGATACTTGGGCGTGATGCTTTCTCATCTGAATATGTGATTTGTTTGTCATTCTTGTCGTTGTGTGGTGTTTTTTTCCCCGAGTCATGTTGTTAAGCTCAAACCTACAGTGTTTTCAGTCACTTTCAGGTTACAAAATTTGACTAAGGTTTTCTTTCAAAAATTGTTTAGAGCCAATTAATGGAAAATCTGCAAAATTAAATTTTCTCCACAAGTGTGATGATATCTTACTTCAGCCTTATTTCTAACTACAGGTTTTAAGATAATCACATTCGTTGGATTAGTGCTTCCCTTTGCACTGATCTAGATTTTACAGCCTGTAAATTGCCACAATTTCTTACTTAGCCTAATGACTGAGGGTACCACTGTTTAGATTGCATAGACTTGGGCCCTTTCTTTCAGCCTTGCCCTTACCTTTCATTGTTCGACGCTGGCAGAACTGTTAGGAAAGCCAGTTAACAGTAAGGGAGCTTCAGAATGTTTCAAGGGAAGAAATGTGTGCTGCTCCTTCTCCAGACCGTGATCATGAGCTTCAGAAGGCTGCTCAGGAAATCGATTTTTTGTTCTATTTGGAAAGTGTAAATATTATTGGGTGATTGCTAAATACATTTGTATGAATTTTTAAGGATTTTGGTCTTCAGAATTATGATCATTTCTACTTTAAAACTGTAATACATAGAGTTTTCTCAGGAAAGTATTCCTAAAACTCTCTCTGGTTTCTAATTCATTCCTCACCCACTTGTATGTTTTTTCCTCTCTGAACTGGGGGAAAAAACTCTTTCTATCTGAAGTTTGGGGGCAAGCAGTAGCAATTGCATGCTTTTGTGTGTTCCTCTCTCCTTCATACACAGTGACCCTAGAGCATGACCTTTATGAGAACAGGTTCTCGAGCCACACTCACTGCTGCCCCCGTTTACTAGTGCTGTGACTGCTGGCGAGTTACTTCCCTTCTCAGGGCCTGTGTTCCAGCTTGAGAAGTGAGAGCAATGGAACTTAACCCCCTGGGGCCTGAGATAAATGAGTTAGTGTACAGAAGGGCACATATCAGCGTCTGCCACTTCTGTTTGTCTGGGTGGGGAGTACACACTCTTTTTCTGCCAGCCTCACTTCCATTTTAATGTTTGGTTCACGTTGTTGGTCTAAAATCTCACTGATACTATTTTTCTAGGCTCTTGGGATGCTCTTTTGGCATAAGCATAATATTGAAAAATCATTGGCTGATTTGCCCAACTTTACCCCCTTCCCAGATGAGTGGACTGTGGAAGATAAAGTCTTGTTTGAGCAAGCCTTTAGTTTTCATGGGAAAACTTTCCATAGAATCCAACAAATGGTAAGTAGATGAGCTCTCCCCCGCCAGCTCCCCTCGCCCACCTTCCTTGAGGACTAGGGCTACCATCCAGAAGCACGAATGTCCCCATCTTTAATAAAGCTCCCTTTAGAAGCAGCAGCTCACTACGTGCTGTTGGGTGGATGAGAGGCTTCCGATTCCAGGAGTGAAGCGTGTCCTGGCACCCCCAGCTATCAAGCTGGGACTCAGCACTGCCCCCCCATCCGTCTTGTTTGGACTCCCCAGCTTATTCTCATAGAAAGGTTCTTAGATGCTTATTTGGCGAGGTGGAGTGCCACGGGGCCCCGTCTGCCTGGGAAGGGTTGCTGTCTTATTACACTCTACAGAGCTGTATGCTGTACTCCTATCGTGATGGCTTGTTGATGGTTACATTAGTGCTAAAGTCAATTTTTTAAAAATAACCTAGAAGTTATGTGAGAACTTCTAGTTGTGTCAGAGAAAACCCTGATTCATCTTAAACTGACTTTGCAGTCTTTCATGGTTAAGTTTCACTTACAGTCAGACTTCAGTAATTTGAAAATGGATCAGTGAGTGTTCTATGAATTCAGAGAAAATAGCTGTGACGTGTGATGTTTCTGAATATATGGTGTTCCTTCTGTAAACACGTGTGATTTTAAAGGTTAGCTTTAAGTCTAAACCAGTTATTTTTGATTTAGCTTCCTGATAAGTCTATAGCGAGCCTGGTGAAATTTTACTACTCCTGGAAGAAGACAAGGACCAAAACCAGCGTGATGGACCGCCACGCTCGGAAACAGAAGCGGGAGCGGGAGGAGAGGTCAGTGCGTGCCAGGTGTTGGCTCGGCGCCCCGGGGCTTCCGGGGGCTGCTGGGTGGGTGCAGGGTGGAAAGGTAGGGGAACCGGGCTCCCCAGGACCTTCCTGCTGGAACCAGAGCTTCACAACAGCCTTCAGCTAAATGTTCACGAGCTGTGTTAATGCTTGAGCATCATGCTCTTCAGGTGCCTGTTCTCAGCGCTCCTCCTGCAGCCAGCGCACTTGGCTGTGAGAGGGTGGGCTTCCCCACACGTTCTTTGTGCCCCTTCAGGGGGTCTCCTGTTAATAAGAAGGGACCTGTCGTTTCCTAGTTGGAATTTATCTGGTGTGCTCATGCAGGATTCGGTTGTCATGTTTTCATGTTTGTTGTGTTAAAAGATGAGCGTGCAGTTTAGATTTCCTTGTCCCCTTACTTGACATCTGTTTTATGATTTCTTAGTGAGGAGGTTAGTTTTAAGGGTAGCTCATTCTTGCCGTCGCTCCTTCAGCCTTGCACAGGGTAGTGGGAGTGGCCCCGACCTCACTCGCAGAAGTGGGTTCTGGTCTCAGCCCGAGGGTCTGCTGATAGACTCACAGGCAGGTTGGCTCAGTGCACCTCCTCCCCAGGCGTCTGTTTCCTCAACTCTAAAACGAAGACGCTTCAAGTCCAGAAGGCAGCACACAAATACATGCGTTTTGTGTTAGAATATGGGTGACTTTTACAAATTATATTTCTATAATATATTGTTTTTATAAACTAACAGTGCCAAATAAAATGAAGAAAGACAAACTATGTGGTCTCCACAGCCCTGTCTCCCGAGAGTATTTTATGATTTCAGATGAAAGCAGGTGACATGTGGGGATAGCTTCAGAACCGAGTATGACTTCTGGAGAGCTCAGTCTTGGGGCGCAAGTGTGAGATGAGAGTGATGCCGAGAACATCTCCAGAGCTCTTCGCAGCTTTGACTCTGTGAGGGTGCTGACCTTGACACCTCTGCATGGGTTTCAGTCTGCAGCACACGCAACTAGTGGACCTATTTATGGGCCAGTGCTCTTTGTAACCAGAGAAAAGGAGCGAACTCTGCTGAATTTGTTTTTAGTGTTGCAGCAACTTGATTAAAATTTTTCATTTCCGTTATGTGTTAGGTCTGGTTTACTGTTTATAAAGTCTGTTATTGCAAACAGGTACAGTTGACTAAGCTGAAATCAGAATTAAATTTAAAAAAACTAGGGGCTTGTTACCCCTGAGGGCGAACTGCCAAGAGCGTCGGCTGATGTGCCTCTGTTCCCACTGCCCATGTGCTTTCCTTTGCATCCTTCCCTCAAGGGTGCCAAGGAGGGCCACACTGGCCACAGCAGTGCCACCTGTGAGATTGTTGTCCTCCCAGCGGACCTGCCTGTGGAAGCAGGGGCAGGGGCTAGAGAGATCTCCCAACCCCAGCCCTTTTCCTCAGCCAGAACTTCTGACCACCGTGGTCCTTGGGGTGGGTGGGGAGAAGGGGTCGCTCAGAGAGTGGAGTCCCCTGGGGCACTCCTGAGACAGGAGGTGTTGACGTTTGAACTCGAGTGTTTTCTGCTCCCAGTGCTTAGCTGGTCAACTGTGGGCACACTGGGGCAGGCCGCTTGACCTGCGTGAGCTCTTGTGTTCCTACCGCAGAGCCCCACCTGCCACAGAGCCCCCTTTAAAATTAGAAATACTGCATGGAAGGATATAAAAACAAAAGCATTTGAAGCGCAATATCAATATGAGTGTTCTTTTCTAAATTCACTTAATTTGAAATACCAGTTATCCAGGCCACCAAAAGGCCTGTCCTGTTCTCAGGCCTGTGTAGTTGTCAGTAGACAGCTGAGACTTGAAAATGAATTTTTACTTGTTGGTGAATTTATCCCCAGTACAGTGGGTCTTTATTCTCAGTTGTGTTGGTGATCTTGCCCTGGTCCTCTGCTAGATAATTACGGAGCCATGAGGTGATGTCTTAAATTTGATATTTCAGTTGAGAGAAAACACTTTACAGATACAAAGAGAAAGGTTCTAGGCCTGAAGTGGGACTTGGTTACCTATTTTAGTAGCTTTTTTAATCATTTAGACTAAAAGAACTATGGAGTTAGTATTTTATTTGAATTATAAAAATGTTTTTATCTCAGCCGTCTGAAAATGTACTAATTTTATGTTAAATGTCATTAAGGTCAGTTTATTGCTTATATTTGTGTACTAAATAGAACCAGTACAAAATAATCTTTCAGTAACTTGTTCTTATCTTCCAGTGAGGATGAACTTGAAGAAACAAATGGAAATAACCCCATTGACATTGAGATTGATCAAAACAAGGAAAGCAAAAAGGAGGTATTTTTTCGCTAGTACTGTTAAGACAAATTAATTTTATTACTAGTTTCATAAGTAAAACACTCCTCATTCTGCTTAATGTATGAAATGCTGTGTACAAGGCATTGAGGTGTGGCTTTTAAAACAACACTGACTTTGCTTTACAGAACTTCAGATTTGCTTGTCAGGAAGTACAAGTGAAGGAAGCCTTGAAGGGGAAAACAGCGGTCAGGAGGAGCGGCTTTGCCTGGGGTGGCAGTGCCCACGCTTTACCTCCAGGGTCGCCGCACTCACTGCCTTCTCTCCTGCCGCTCACGCTCACTCTGTAGCTTAGAAACGCACCCAGGAGGGCCAGGCTCGAGCTCAGCTCCTCCTCTCGGCCCTGGTGGGCTCCTTCCTGCCGTGGGCACCGGGGCCTGCTCTCCTGGGTCCGAGGTGGCTGCAGGGGCTGACAGGGACACGTCCTCTGGTCACTGAAACAGCAGCATAGGCCATGTGAGGGTGAGCCGCACACACGGTGAAAATTTAATCTCTCATGTTTTAAAAATTATTATGCCAGAGGTTTCCAGTCTCTGGATTCATGGAGTCCGCGAACCCTGCATGTATATGACTTTTTATCTTTTTGGTATATTTATAACATATATTTATTGTGAACTGTCTGCTGAGAGCAGTGGGGTGTCTGGATGATCTTAGCCTTTTGAGATGGGGTCGTAGTCTTGGGTTATTGTGCCCACTCAAACATTGGGTAAAGCATATGCGGGGTCCCCACGGAACCTCCGAGGAAGGCCGGGGCTCTGTGGCCCACTGGGAACCGCCGCAGCACAGAACTGCCTGCATCAGGTCCCCGATGGGTACACATCGCACCTGAAGGAAAGAGGTCCTCAGCCTGTCGGTGCCCGTCAGCCCCTCAGTTCAGGCTGGAGCACTGAATGCCAGCGTGGCTGTGACTTGTGTTCACACGTTTTTCTAAAGGCAGAGTCTTTAGTTTTAGTAAAATCTCAAAAGCTTCTCTATCTCAGAAGAGTCTAAAGTATGAGAACAGCTATTTTAGGAATGGAAAACAAAAAGGACTAGACGTACCTATACTTTAAAATTATACCAATAATATGTGCTTTCTGTAGACAGTTAGGAAATGTAGCTAAACAAAATGATTTGTAGTATCATCTTTCGTAACCACTGTTAACATTTGGGGACTCTTTCCAGATGACCTCTGTAAGTATATATGCCTTTATACGTAATTCTGAATCTATACTCTTAAAAAATATTAAACGGGGTCTTAATATATAATTTTTATAACCTTTTAAATTTACTCTACCTTGGGGGATATGGTAGAGCACATGCTTAGCACACACAAGGTCCTGGGTTTAATCCCTAGTACCTCCTCTAAAGATAAATAAATAAACCTAATTATCCCCCTTAAAAAAAAAACCCAAACAAAAACAAAACAAATCAATTTACTCTACCATGACCCTATTTTTATGTCAAATATGTTTGTATGCATAGCTGTATGTTATGCCATCATACAGATCTTTCATAACTGAGTTAATTAATCGTACACAGGTTTTTACAGACTTCTCCCCCTTGGCTTTTGCTGTTATAAATAATGCTGAAATGCTGGTCTTATAACTACGTATTTGTGCACCTAACTTTCTTCATTAGAATTAATTTCTGGAAGTTGAACTGTGTCAAAGTGTTCTAGATATAATTTTAAGGCTTCTTTTGGTGTGATCAGTTTTATCAAGTAGGAAGCCAGTAATTCTTTCTGGATAATTCATATGAGTGCCCAAATAACAAGACCGTTTTAAGGATTAGCTAAATTAGATTGTTTGGGAAATCAGATTGCACCTGCAGTGTTTAGTAAGCTTCGTTGTGATGCATTGTTACTTATTAGGTTCTTCAGTGGAATGTTTTAAATGAAAGAGAAGAGGCTTGAATTTATTTTACTTTCTGTAATTCTTAGGTATATAGCACAATATCTGATTTAAACAGAAAATGGTTGAATATTAGTTTCTTTATGAACCAGATTGTTACTGAAACAGACACATGGTCAGTAGGTGGTCCTCACTAATATTATCGAGCATAGTTTATTGCCTATTAATATTTTTATGTGTTGTTCATTACCACTTGTTCAAGAGCTTATTGCTGCCATCATAGTTTGCACGGTCTTTTTACCTCAGTCTTTTAAAATATGAAGTAAAAAGCCTGAACATATTTTCAGCTTTATCAGCAAATGTTAATACACTAACACGATGAGATTATGAACAATTAACCAAAATTTCTTATTCTTAAAATGGTTACCAATAAGATGTTACCCTTTCCTTGCCAACAGTTTATTGCATTTCATTTCCAAGGGTTTTGATTTTAAAGAAAGCACTTTAAAAAAATGAGCAGCAGTCATGCATTTAAAAATGACAGCATATATTTCTTGAAGCAAGTTACACAGTTGTCCTAAAAGTTGTGTCATCAAATAAAGTGTATCAAAAAGTCATGGTTTCATATTGAAGTTTATGTTTTTATAAATGTCTATAAAGGTTTAAATGGATCTTTATACATGTGCTGAATCGTGTTTCTCTTTTCTTTCTGTGGCCGTGTGTCTGTCTACATTGTTAGGGACTGTTAGGATAAAGTAACTCCTTATTCATACACACGAAGCTCATTGGAAGGGAATACAGATTGTTTTTCTTCTGTATTACTGCAGGAAGCTGGGAGTGCTTATTGTCAGAGGCTTCTAGGATCAGGATGTATCTGCAGGAAAGAAATGGTGTCCACTTTAAAGGGTTCATTTAGCAAAGTGCAGTGGCCAGTGATCTTGTCTGTTAACCATGTATTCGAGTTTGTAGGTGGTGACTGTGGTGCAGTGTGGTGTTTGTCTTAGATTGTTTGGAGCTGTGTTAAGAAAATATGCTTATTACTGTTCATTTGGCATTTTAATGGTTTTAGTTTCTCATTTATCAAATATGTATATCGTGCAGGTGCCCCCTACTGAGACAGTTCCTCAGATCAAAAAAGAGAAGCATAGTACACAAGCCAAAAACAGAGCAAAGAGGAAACCTCCGAAAGGAATGTTTCTTTCTCAGGAGGATGTAGAGGCTGTTTCTGCCAACGCTACTGCTGCTGCCACAGTGCTGCGACAGCTGGATATGGAGCTGGTTTCAATCAAGCGACAGGTACCTGTGGGCCCAGCCCTGGTGAAAGAGTTCACTGGCACTTTGGACGTGTCTTACCTTCCCTGTACGTGGAAGTCTCGTTCCACAAATCTCAGAAGGGCATTTTATTTCTTAGGAGTTGGACGGGAGGTCTTAATAGGTACTGGCCCACTGACTTTATGTGGTGTATATGTGTATACATCTCAGTATGTTTCCATAATGTGAGCACACGCAGGTGACTGGGTCTGGATCAGGAGGTGGAGCGTTGCCTACAGAGCCCGTGTCCCCCACCCCAGTCACTGCTCCACTGGAGAAGTGTGTCATTGCCGCACACACAGTGCTCGTGCCCCGCTCGTCCCTTACCTGCCTTCTCCAAGGACGTGGCCACTGTTCTGACTTTTAAAACCATACACTATTTGTATCCATTTTTGGAATTTATCTAAGCAGAACAATAAAGGGTGTGTGTGTGTCTGTGTGTGTTTTGTATCTGGCTTTTATTCGGCACGTGAGACCCATCCATGGAATTCCGAGCCACAGCTCTTGTTCTCTCTCGTTGGTATATGAACACACGGCAGATTCTCCGTTTCACTTTTAGTGGACGTCCAGGCTGTTTCCCATTTCTGACTGTAACACTGGTGTTGACGTGAACGTTCTTCTGTGTGACTCTTGGTGCGTGGTGTGTGCGTCTTTGTGGGGTACTTACCTGGGAGTGCGACTGCTGGGCTATAGAACATGCCTGCATCCAGCATTGGAAAACAATGCCAGACGGGGTTCCAAAGGGGCCCTGCCAGCTGATGAGTTGTGGTTGAGCTACATCAGGCCTTCCTAACTGTAGCGCTGTGGGCGTTTGGGGCTGGATAGTTCTTTGTTTGGTGGGGAGGGATGAACTGTGTTCTGTGTGTTGTATGATGTTTAGCTGCATCTCTGGCCTTTACCCACCAGCAGCATCTTCGCCCACCATTCTGGAACTGTGGGTGGGGTGCGGGGAAATTCTGTTTCCACGTTCTGAGGCCTTCCTTCCTTTTCACTCTTTGAGGTGTCTTTTCAAGAGAAATTCTTAATTTTAAGGTGGTCCGGTTTCTCATTCTTGCCTTTTGTAGTTTGTGCTCTGTGAGTCTGTTCAGAACCTCCCCTAAAGTCGTGACGATGCTCTCACACACCACTTAAACTGTTGCTTTGCCTTTTACCTTCTGATCTTCAGTCAGCCTGGCAGTGTTTCCTGTGTGTGTGGTTGCGTGTAGGGTCAGACTTCTTTTTCATACAGCTATCTCGTTAACCAGGGACTGTTTATTCAGAGACTAGCCTTCCCCTGTTGCGGAGTGGGGCCTTTGGGTCTGGTGTCCGCTGTCCGTTGTGTGTGTGGGTCGGGTTTGGCGCTCTCTCTGGGTGCCTTGGCCGGTTTCTTCACCAGCGCCTCGCGGGCTTGGTTGTACCTAGGTTATGGATCTCGGTAGCTGATAGTATAACTCCTCCAGGACTGTTGTGGCTGTTCCTGGCCTTCGTATTTCCATATGAAACTTAGAATCACTTTCTCAATTTCCAGAAAAGCAGTTCTGCTAGAATTTTGACTGGGATTGTATTTACTCAACAGATCAAAATGGAGAACGAACATTTTCAGATCCATGAACATGATACATCCCCTGAGGTCTTTAATTTCTTCCAGTGTTCTGTTGTTTCTGCGAACACGTCTTGTACTTCCTTTATTCCTCGATGTTTGCTACTTGTTTGGTGCTCTTGTAAAGAATACTGTTTTTAAAATTAATCCTTTCCTAGTTATTTGTGCCTGGTATGAGAAGTGGGTCATCATTGCAACCTGATTTTGCAGAGTGTGTGTAAACTGACCAGTCGGCTCAGGGGGTCAGCGCTGTTCTTTCTCTGGTCATCGCGCCCCCCTCCCAAATTCAAGGGGAATTGTGGACTGGTGGTTTCCTTGTAATTTTTGCTGCTTTTGTTTTGTTGATCTTGGTGGTTCCCTTGAAAGGTGGTTTCCTGGATGATAGGGGAAGCTGGGGACTGAGGCCCATCTGTCCCCGTGGAGGCCGCGACACAGACCAGGACCCAGCAGGCCCTGTGGACTCGGCGGTTGGCTTCTGGTCCTGGCTGCCGGCACAGCTGCATTCTAATCTTAGGACAATCACTTAATCTTCCTGGGCCTCTTTTCAGATGAGGAGATTAATCCTTGCCTGCCCGGTCTTACAGGATGCGTGCAGGAGCCTCGGAAGCCCTGCCGGCAGGAGCTCTCTGCTGGGGCCTGGTCCTTTTCACCCTTCTCTGCTCCCCCGCCAAGCGCGTGCCCTGCGCCTGCTGCTGGGGGTGGCACATGGCAGGAGAGATGCTTTCTTCCCGGAGGGGTTGGACGCTGTAGTGTGGCAGGTAGAGAGCCTGTGGTGGTCAGAGCAGGCTTGAGAGCAGAGATTTGTTGTTTGAAGGTAGCTTTTGAGGAGAGATGGCCTGGAGCCCGGCTTTCTAGGTCGTTACTCCCGCAGCCTCTTAGGGCTGCTGCCAGCCGCGCTCCTGGTGGCCGATCACATGTGGATGTTTTCTCCGGGGCCCCAGCGGGGCAGTGTGTCAGGGAAATGTCCATCTGACCCACAGCAGCTTAAACAGTGAAGGATTTATTTTTATCAAATAGCAAGAAATTCCAGCATGAGAGGTTGCTGGTGTCACTTCGTCTGTCAAGTGATGCCCTCAGGGCTTCCCTGCTCCTTCTAGGCTCCTAGGCTTTTCACCTTGCCTGTGGCCTCATGTTGGAAGCCACAGGAGCCATTTTGTCACCTTTGCATCTGCATTCAGGGCAGTGAGCGGAGGGCACGGAGGTGGAGCTGACCCTCTGTTCCTTTTAGCAGGAAAAGCTTTCCCCTGACCATGAGCTCCTAACTGTGCCAGAGCAGCCTGGCTCCTCCTGGCCCCAAGGGAGGCCCAGCCGCTGTCGGAGGCCTGGGAGACAGGGGGGCTGGGAGCGGTTTCTGCGGGGCCGGCCAGCGGCTGCACCTGCTGCAGTGGTCTTTCTGAGCGGACCCAGTGAAAGGCCTGACAGCAGAGGAGTCACTGACGCTCAGCAGAGCAGAGCAGAGAAGCCATGCTCAACAGGGCGCTCCCGGTGAGCTGCAGGACGAGTCAACTGCTTTTCTAGGTTTTTTTCCTTAAATGCCGATTACTTTGTGTCCTGTTTCTCACCCATCTTGTTGCCACTCTGGCTTCCTTTCCACTGGTATGATGCTGGCCGCTGAGCCCTGTTCTTGTTCTGACTAGTAAATACTTGGACATTTCTAATTTGGAAAATGACTAGAAGCGGACATGCAGGTAAGTGAGACTTGAGAGCAAACTTCTGGTTCAGAATTCGCGGGTGTCTTGCCTTGTGGCCGTTCATTCAGTCTCTGTGCTTCCATTGACTTAAAGGAGAAAATGCGTTTTACACAATCCCAGTGCAGGGTGTGTATACACTCTGTTTTGTACCACATGTTATAAATGACCAGCTGGAATGAATAGTCACGTAGTAACAGGAATGCCTGGGGACGTGTAGTGTTCTAGACCCCTGACTTCTGAGAACTTGCTGATTCTGTGTTGGAAGTTTCTAGGCCTAGTTTTGAGCCTATGGAGAATTCAGGGAACATAATCTGAGTGCCTTGCGATATTTTATGGGTTGTTGGTAACTGAGAGCTCTGAGCAGGAGGAGTCCAAGATGCTGCTGTTCTGTATGGTAGCCAGTGGCCACCTGTGGTATTTAAATTAAGTTTGGATTAATTAAAATTAAAAAATTTAAAATTTTGATTCCTCAGTTGAATAAACCACATTTTAAGTGCTTCGTGGCAACACGTGGCTAGTGGCTCCTGTATCAAGCAGCACAGCTTTAGAGTATTTTTATCATCGGAGGGAGTGCTATTAGGCAATGCTGATCTGAGAGCTTGGAATTACTTTCCTGAGAACTTACTGTGAGTGAATTTCAAGTATTTTCTGATTTGTACCTTTTCAAAATAAAGTAAACTACAATTTCACTAAAGCAAGGTCCTGGTTTATGGTTTTACTATAAATTTTGTGCACGTGTCTGAGATTTTTCTTTTCTGTTTTTATGTTCTGCTGTGGCATCGATTCAGAAAGACTTGGCATCGGCTGCATTTTTGGGGGGCTTTGAGGCCCTCATCAGTGGCCAGCAGGCTCAGTTTCTGGTCTTATGTACTTGGCCACCTGTCCCATAGCATGGAAAATTTTTCCTGCATGCACCCCCTCCCTTTTAAACCTTCTAGAAGACGTAAAACATAGGAGGAAAGGATGTGTGCAACTGGAATTCTGTGAAATGTAAATACTTGGAAGTGGAATTTTTAAGAATTGTGTATCTATAAAAAAATTTTTTTAAGAAGGAGAATTGTTTAAAAGTGTCCATATGATGGTATCCTTCACCACCATCCCCACTCACCGCCCACCCCCTCCCTACCTCTGAAGTTCCTGCCTTTTTCTTCATTCACTTCGTAAGATTTCTGCTTTCAGGGGCACTTTCTGCTCATGAGTGTCTTTGATGGTTGACTTGGGAAAATGAACGTACTCCTCCTCTTGCTTTCTTATTTGCTCAAGTGACTACTAGAAATGAACACTGGCGGAGCCCGAGTCCCCCGGTGCTTGGCACAGGGGCGCCTCTGCGGGAAGGGTCCTCCTCAGCCACCCGGCCCGTTCCCAGTCCTTATGGAATTCGGGAGCGGCCGCGGATTGACTGCGTGCTTGGTGCTGATTGTGTCTTTGTTTTGATTAGGCCAAGGCGGTGAAAGATTAGGTATGTTGTGTCAAAGCAAGAATGTGGAAAAGATAATTTGGAGAAAATGAAGATGCTACAGGTGCTCAAAATTAGGGTGATGGAAAACTGACATACTGCTTTCTTTTTTCTCCCCTTTAAAGAAGCCTGCAAGGTGGGTGGCTGCCTACCCTAGTGTGTGGCTTAGGCTCTGTGAGACTCGCCTGGGCCCTGTGCCTCTTCTGTCTTCACTCTGCCTTCCCTGCCCAGCCTGGCCCTGGTGGGGGCCAGACATCACCTCTATCTTGTGTGTCAGACCCCAGACATGCGTTCTGTCACTCAGGCGTCACCTGGTAGGAAGTGGAGGAACAGGGTTGTGTACACAGGGCTGTTTTACCACCATCCCTTCCTTCTTGGTTGTGTTGTCCCTTGTCTGGTGCCCTGAGCAAGTCAGCTAAACATCCAGTTAGATGCTCTCGGAGGTGCTGTGGGGACCTCAGACCGTGGCTACACTGCACGTCAGGGACCTTTCCCTCTTGGTTTTTTGTTTCTTCTGGCTTTCTTAGTTCTGTTTTCTTTTCATACCTTTATACAAGTTTTTCATTTTTAAAATGAAAACCTTCTCTTTCTTAGATTCAGAACATTAAACAGACGAACAGTGCCCTCAAAGAGAAACTTGATGGTGGAATAGAACCATATCGACTTCCAGAGGTAGGATTATGTTAACATCATCTTTGAAGTCATACCCCACACACTTTTATGTGTTTAAGAATTTGCTATCTGCGTAATACATCTGTAATACACATCTCTTAGAAGGAGAAGTATAGGCATAATTTTATAAATCTGGTTGATGTTCAAATTCTGATGTGAGGAGAAGACTCATTAACCCTCCTGAGGACATGCTGGTGTCCAGTGCTGCTTGCTAACACGGCTCCTTCGGGCACCCAGGTCGCTCAGAAGTGCAACGCCCGGTGGACCACGGAGGAGCAGCTTCTCGCCGTGCAAGGTACGCACACAGTCTCTTAGAAGGAGCTGTGGGCCCGTGCTGCTTTTAGGGAAGAGCTAGCCCCGTCCTGCTCCCAGCACGACACCCACGTTGAAGCGGTCATGGAGGATTACATTCTTCTCATGGCCCTCATTTTAGCCAAATTACTGCGTTCCCTTTTGGGCTTTAACTTTTTCCTTTCCTGTTGTCTCACAAGATTTAAAAATTAATCTGGAAGCCTCAGTGTCTGAAGGGGTGAGTATTTCACGTTAGCAGCTATTTATTTGTTGGGTTCTGAATAGTCAGAAAACACAGATTGAGTGCTGGGGTTGTGAGATGGAGGTGTTCTGGCCCTGGGGACCCTGGAAGGGCAAATACAGACTGTCCGCAGCGTGGGGTCATAGCTGGCTGACGAGTCATCATGGGACATTTGATGAGAAGGGGCAGGCTCACGGTCAGTCACTGGCACTGAGCTCTCCTTCCCACTGGTGCACGGCTCTGAGACAGTGCCTGCTGTTCAAAGCCTGTGTTTCCTTACCTGGGTAAGGATTAAGTCTCAACTGTGTGTGTGGCTTTGAATTGTTCTTCTCTTGTATTGAAAAAAATGCTTTCTTATATCCTTAGCCATCAGGAAATACGGCCGAGATTTTCAGGCAATCTCAGATGTCATTGGGAACAAATCAGTGGTACAGGTGAAAAACTTTTTTGTAAATTATCGACGCCGCTTCAACATAGATGAAGTTTTGCAAGAATGGGAGGCAGAACATGGGAAAGAAGAAACCAACGGACCCAGTAACCAGAAACCTGTGAAGTCCCCAGATAATCCCATCAAGATGCCTGAAGAGGAAGACGAGGTAAGTCTGAGACCACATGAGCTCTCCTCTGCCAGGCTGGCGGTCAGCACGCGGGTCCTGACGGCCTTTCTCAGCTGCAGGGACACTTCTGGGTTTCAGCTGTGTCAGTAATGTGACTTTGACCTGTTGTCAGTTTGCTCTAACGTGTGTTGTCGGCAGTCAGTTTTGGGACACTACGTGTATTATTCACATTTTAATTCCTGGACAAATTCTTAATTGCGTCCTGGTTTCCTCCAGCCACTGAATATTTCACATTACCGGTATTTTCCTAAGTACAGTAAAGTTCCCGCCGTGAAACATGAAGTTAGAAATGCCTTGAATCAGTAAAGTTCAGTCCTGTAAATGTGATGTCGTCTCATTGTGAAGTTAGTGAATTTCCTGGTGGGCCCTCGCGGCTGGCGCACCAGGAGCTCCAGGTCTGTCAGCTGTCCAGTCCAGAGCTTTGCTGCTGGCTGTTTGGGGTTGCCGGCCTGAGGCTGGCTGGAACCTCAGAATCTCCTGGGTGGCAATGCTGACTTCATCAGCCCAGTCAGCACAGATTAGGGAGGGAGATGATTGAGGCTGTGGGACCCGTCTCCTGCCTCCCTGCTTCCTGTGACAGGGTTGCCGGGCAGGTAAGAGTTAATAGCCATTCACTTTGCATTTGAATTTGTTCATTGACATGGTGATTTAAGGATTAACTCCCCAAACCGGGCAGGAATGATTTGAAATCACCTCTTTTATATTGTCTGTACTGTCAGTTTGCTCTAAGCGCCAGTCTGTAGAAGCAGGTCAGGAGGGAGACCCCTGCTGACCGGGGCCTGGGAGTGCCTTGTGAGGAAGACCCCCCCCCCCACCAGGCGGGGCTCCGCCAGTCTGCACAGTGCCTCCGTGCCAGCCTGGAAAAGGGCCTCAGGACACCTGCATCTGTCAGAAGAGTGTTGAAACACACTGATTTTGTTAGAATTAGACTCTTCAGAGCCCTCTACCAGAAAATCTTTGTAGTCAGTGTACAAAATCTGACTATGCCGGTGGTTCCCGGAGTTACCCCCGGGCAGGGCCTGCCCAGCCTGCAGCCCTGGGACGTGGTAGCATGTTAGCAAGACACAGGGGTTTCCTCTTTCCGCAGTGGTTCTGTCTGAGTGCTGGTTGCCCCTTTAGCAACAAATTAACTTCCCTGAAGTCTTGGACTCAATTTAGGAAGCTTTGAAAAGACTGGGGAAGGAACATTAGAATGTGCAAGAGTGAAAGCTCCCTTCAACATGTGTTTTCCAGCTTAAGTCCTAGAAGCAGAAATAATAGGACACTGTGGTCTCCTCCCTCTTCAGATGTAATGAGAGCCCATGCAGGCAGGGTTAGGAGAGAAACAGTGCTGGTATGTTTAGGACCAGGAGTCGTCACCACCACGATGCCAACTCTTCCCAGACACCTTTCTGCATTTTCTTATGCCTGGTTCATTTACTGCCTGAGATAAGTGAGCTAACGTTTTCCCCTTTCTTGTTAGTCCAGAAGGTCCATCCTTGGCAGCCCACTTACCATGTTGCTTGCACATCAGAATGCTCCTGTACCTTCCTCCCCAGCCTCTGGTAGCAGGGCCCAGAGCGCTGACCCCCACCAAGCAGCAGGCCTTCCCTCTCTGTGGTAACTCATCCCCTGTGTGTCTGTTTACCCAGCCTTCTCTTTGGAAGGAAGGGAATTAGCTAACTTAACTTGAATGTATACTCTTTTTATCACCTTGAACATTTTTTCACTTTTTTAGTCAGTTAACAACTCTTGTCTGTCTCACACGCACGCACGCAAGCGCACACACACGTGC